AGACATAATCGACAACATTTGTCTTTAGAAAAAAGAATGACAAAAAGCAAAATGTTACGAAAATGTTTTAGAGTTACTATACTACTACCAATGAAGCATTAAATTATACTGCAAAAACTAGTTTTCTTTTAAAAAACTAGCTTTTATAGCTAAAAATCTGAAAAAAAATCTAATTTTTTGTATAATAATTGCTACTCTAGTGCTTTAATTTGCTAGAAATTGAATTAGAAATCAAAAACTTTAAACCTGATTTTGCTGTAAGAATTACATTTCCATGTTGTATTCTTCCAGTGACCTAAAATTCAAAAAACCTGTTATATCACTCATTATCATAATCAGTATTCAACTAAATTTGAACTTATTTCATTTTAATTTTCTACTTGAGTTTATTTTGTTGAGGTACTTTGGGTACTTGAGGTGAAACAACAAAATTGAAGTTGTTTTTCCTGGAATTTTTCCGTAACTTCGCGGTTTTGAAAGATTCCGTCGAAACCCTCGAAAAATTATTTTCGCTGCACCAAAAAATTAAGGCGTAAAATTGATACTCTCAGATTTTCTTAGAAAACCGAAGCAAAAATACGGCAATCTACCGTACTCTTGGTGCTGATTTTGCACAATTTTAGCAATTCGCACTATTTTTGAAGAAAAAAGATGCTTATCAGAAGGACATTTTTGTTTCGGCAATTCATTATTTGAAAAAATCTTCTTCTTGCCCTTTTTTAAAGTTGAATTTTGTTGCAAACGTTTTTTTCTAATATAGTTTATTTAGAAATTTCTGCGGTGTCCTTCTGCGGCTATTTTTTAAGAATTTCGATTTTCAAGCTTGAAGTAGCGTATTTTATTCAGTTTAAATCTATTAAAAAGAAACTAGAAAAGAATCAAAAAAAGTAAGAAAAGATGTTGTTCGGGATTTTTTTTGTCGTTCATGTGGATTATAAAGAAAATAAAAACAATAGTTTAATGCAAATAATTGTTAATTATAAATTACCTCTATTTTTATATTTTAAATATTTTTTAATTGATGCGCGCCCTGGATTTTTATAGATATTGATCATTAATGATAAAATATTAGTAACTGTCTCCATAAACCCTGTAGAAAATGTATAACAATAGATCACAAATTGATTTTCGTTTTTTATTAAAAAATGAATAAACTCTTTATAATAATTTTTTTTTCTAAATTTCGCATTTTGCATCTCTTAGCATCTTTTTTTTTATTTTTTACACGTTGAATTACACACGTTGCAATATTTATATTGGTAATTAATTTTTGCTCTCGAAATTTTTAATTTATTTGTTAACATGTTCTTCTTTTTTTTCTTCAATAAATTTTTCTTTTTTATTGATAGATTGTTTCACTTTTTCTAAGCTTTTGCTTTACCATTAGCCTTTTATCCCTCCAAAAATGCCCTCTGGCCCACTTATACTATTTTGAGGAACTTGGTGGGAAAAAAATAATTTTGTGTTTTATTTTCAAGTTTGACATGTTTAGAATTGAAGTACACCCTACGTGCATATCGTTTTTTCAACAAATTGCAAAATTTCCGCTTTACTGTTTTTAGTTATGCAAAAATTGTTACTAACTGTTGGAAGATGTCAGAGAAAAAATAATAGCTGGATGCTGGGCAAGTAGAACAAGATTTCCAACCACGATAAAAAGAATAAAAATCATTAGTTTATCTGACAATAGGTTCCCCCCCTCCAAAAAAGAATTTTTTTTCTGAAGGAAAAACTTCAAAACTAGCTTTACTGACTGAAGCAAAACTAACACTTCACGGTTAAGCTTGAATCAAAGGCTATTATAAGATCTACTCTTGCTGTATTTGCTCGAAATTAGAATAGAGCTCAAAATATTGACCAGTTTTTTTCGACATTGAGACTATTTATTTTCAAGTTTAGAACTGAAGTAGACCGTACGTGCATATCGTTTTTTCAACAAATTGCAAAGTTTCCGCTTTACTGTTTTTAGTTATGCAAAAATTGTTACTAACTGTTGGAAGATGTCAGAGAAAAAAATATTAGCTGGATGCTGGGCAAGTAGAACAAGATTTCCGACCACGATAAAAAAAATAAAAATCATTAGTTTATTTGACAATAGGTCCCCCCCCTCCAAAAAAGAATTTTTTTTTCTGAAGGAAAAACTTCAAAAACTAGCTTTACTGACTGAAGCAAAACTAACACTTCACGGTTAAGCTTGAATCAAAGGCTATTATAAGATCTACTCTTGCTGTATTTGCTCGAATTAGACTAGAGCTCAAAAATATTGACCTGTTTTTTTTCGACATTGAGACTATTTATTGAAAAGTTTTGAATAGCATTTGAATCACGACTGACAAAAACGATACCTTAGTATTATATATAATTCAACCTTTTCTAATAATTATTTCTGGTTTCTAAATTTGCGAGGAAAAAAAGAAAAAGAAGAAACTAAAACACACCCGAATAAAAAGTTCCTGTACATTTTCAATAGTCAGAACGGAACAGTAAAATGAAAAAAAAACTGCGTTATATGAATTCTTAATGTTTTGAAATTTCTTTGAATTTCGAGAAAATAATGGATTATAATCGATACATAAACCATTTCATTGTCCGAGGGCGACAGGGCGACATGGGAGTCATTCATATTGACAACTTTTTAGTATACGAAATCCCTTATAATCTTTTTTTTCCACTTAACTTAGTTGCGGTGTTTTTTTGACATGACAAACCTCTTTACTATAACTGGCGGTTTGAGAAGATTACTGCATTTTAATCGGTTTTGCATAATAATGGCTCGCTTAATTTCCGCTATTTATACGCTGATACATAATACATAGCCTCTGCAGCTGCTGCTCAATGTATACTTCTCAGGTAGATTTGAAAGGCTCCGTAATTATTGATTTTATTTCAATCAAAAAGTACTTCTCGGTTTCAGTACTTTTCAACCGAATTGGGATTCCGCACCACTTAACTTTATAACATCTAAGTTTTTTGAAACTTTTGAATATCTGTTTTTTTGATTAATTTGACAAAAAGCATTTTTACTTGAGCTGTTCTAAAAATTTTCTCCCATTTCTATACTCGGGGGGGGGGGGGGGCGGCTACTACAGTTATTAAGGAAGGGGGAGTAAAAAAGAGTTTCGTTAGAGTAGCTCTCTCCAATTATTGGCCTTTCTCAAAAAAAAGGATACCTAGTGACGAATATCCACCCCTCATGAAGGACTAATTCATCGGTTAAGCATTTGCGAGTTTTGAAATTCATTATGAACACCCCCCCCTTCAAATCTTTGCAGTGAGGTGTGAAAGTAGTGAACAAGAGTGAAAATATGCTTTGTAAACAAATTGGCTGTCACGTGTTGAGTTGTCTACTCTGCTAGTTCGATATTTTTTTTGGTATTAAGTAAGATGTTTGGTGTAATTTATTCCACCCTGTTTGTATACAACAAGACTTATATCAGGCATTGTCTGGACACTTCTAAATGCAACCCTGATTTACAATTGTCACTTTTCTTGCTCCTGTATCCTAACTGAACTAAGCTGAAGAAGTAATCAATCAACCAACTGTCATTGAAATGCATATGTGAGCAACTATTTTTAGGGAAATCAAATACCTTTTCATTTTAGTCGACAGGTTTACTACATTTTGCTTTTCAAAGAAGTCATTCTTTCAAGTTATTGGTAATATTTCAAGTTTTTTTTGTATTATGAATCAGTTCTACGTCTTTTTTTTTATGCCGGTTGCATAAAAATAACATTTTTTTTTTCATAATATGCTCTGTTGAGAAATACATTTTATCATTGGGAGTCAAAATTTCTATCTTTTTTTCTGACTTGTCCATTAGGTAACTCGTTGTTGTTTTGACACTGAATGAAAATTAGCTCGACTAAAATTGGAAAAAAATTAAATACTCTTATTATTATATGCAGAAAGTAGTTTAATGAGGTGAAAAAACCTGGTATCATTATTGATTGAATTGTTGGCATAAAACCTACAGTTTTCATCATGATTACAGCTTTCGGGATTTGTTTATCACAAATTCTACATTTTTTTTATTTGAACAAATAATTGACTTGATAATTCCCCTCTTCAAAAAACCACTTCAAACAAATTTTATTCCTACTTTTTTTTATTGCCATGGTTTTTGAGGCAGTTTTTTTGTTCAGATAAATTGAAAAGAAGAGATGGTAATTTAATTGGAAAGCTCAAATTTGAGCTACAGCAAAGCATGTCAGCTTAACATAAAATTTTTTTGAAGAAGTGTTTGCGAAAAGGAAGTTCTTTATATTGTTAAAAAAAGGTTTTTATTATTTCAATCCTATAGTATAAAATTTTTTGTAGAATTACTAAAATGATGATATTTCTGAACTACAACAGATTGTTTTATCGGACATGCCTGAAGTTACCTTTATTCGGTCCTTCCGTACAGAAAATTTCTTCTGTTTATTCAAATACAAGTCGCTCATATTAAACAAGAAGCTACAAACTGCTAATTCTGTGAAAAATCGACATGTTTATTTGATGTTTCCCTCATAATTTTTGATTTTTCATTCTGGAGACCATCTTTTGTATACATGTCGTCTTAAATTCTTTAGTCGAACGTTGCTAAATGAATTGATAGAAACAGTCTTAAATTTTAAAGAAAAACTCTTAAAAAAGAGTATCGTTAAACCGATTTGACCTTTGACCCTTGTTAGTTATCACTCTTGCAAATGCGGCCTGATGATTATTTTGTTATTAATAATGTTCATTCGCATTTTCTCCGAAGTTTTTTCTGAATCTCAGCTTTATTTGAACCCGAGAAAAAACTATGAACTCATCCCTGAGTCCTTATCGCTATTTGCATCATCAAATTCATTATCGTCCGATAAGTTCTCGAAAGTGAATCATATCAGAAACAGGCGTGCAAGTTCAAAAAAACTGGTTAACGTCCAGAAAAGCTCGATGAACGAGGAAAAATTTACAAACCATGAGTTAGTTGAGGTGTTTAAAGAAATATCAATATTGAACAATCCTTTTAAAGCGCCTCGTGATATCGAAGTCAGTGGAATCACTCAGAACTCGGCGACCATCTGCTGGAAGCAACCGGCACAAGGGGGTCCAATGCGGGAGTTCCAGATAGTGCTGAGCGTGAAAGACGATGACTCGCTGAACAAGTTCGAGTATCTCAGTTTGGATGAGTCTCAGGATCCGGAAGACGAGAGGAATCTGTGCAAACAGTTCACACTTCTTGAACCAGGAGTGGGCTACGAAGTGTCTGTGGTGGGAAAAGGCAGCCCATTTGCGTACAAGGAACAGGACATGTTCTACTTCAAAACACGCGAAAATCGTAAGTAACTACACACAATTTCATGTTCTGTTTTCTTTTCATAATTTTTGTATCAATAGAGTTTTCAGTATGAGTTTTCAATAGAGGCGATGTTCTGAAATTGTTAGTGAAAAAAATTTTCAGGAATCGTCAGAACATTTTTGTAGATGAATCCAATAAGCTCATTAACCTTGGTTAAAAGTTTCCAATAAGTGTCTAAAAATGTTTTTTTTTTTGGCCAAAATTGCGATCAAAAAATTTTGCATTGAGCGAGTATTTTCAGTGTTTCTGGATAGACTACAGATTGAATTTTTGTCAATAGTCATGCTAAAAAAATTCGGAACAAAATTTAGATTTTTTTTTATATTTCCCTTCTAGATTTGCGCTACTCGCTATTCATTCACAAGGCAAATCCCTGACAATCTGGCTGATAATTTTCTCAGTAATTTTTGTTTACTAGAATTGGTTTTCCAACAACAAAATATACTTCAGGTGGGATCGAGTGATATAATAACAAACAGAAGCTTTTTCAATCGTGATCAGGGGCGGGTTTAGGTGAACGACCTTTCTCTTCAGGGAATCGACCCACTGCCTACCCAAAGGATCCCCCTATGGTCCTATAGTACTAATTTAGGAAATCTAATTTTGTCTCATCGACACGAATTTTTTTAAAAGCTACAATAAAGACTAATTTCATGGAGGAGCGCATACCGATAAAACGCGGTATTTGGTAAAAACTGTCCAAAAAGTGCCTGAAAACGCTTTTTTACCTTTTCTCCAATAATTTGCCTGAAGCAAAGAAAATTTGGTCAAAATGGGGTCTTTATAGTGATTTGGGAATGCGCAGCACAATCAATTTGGTCGACCTAAAAAAAGGTAGACAAAATTTTCGAAAAGAAAAGTTTTTGACACACCCCCAGAGAAAATTGTAAATCCGCCCCTGATCTTCATTCTGATTCCAAAAAAAATCAAAATACTTGGCTCAGTGTCAATATTATCAGCCAACAGGGGCGGATTTTGTATTTTCTAGCGAGAAAGGCGAGTTTTCAAAACAATTTCGAAAATTTATGTGGATCTTTATTTTTTTAGGTCAACCAAATTGATTTTTTGATCTCTCCCAAAGCACTAAAAGCTCCTTTTTTGGAGCGCTGCTCAGATAAAGGCCAAAAAATGCATTTATTTAAGGATTTTTGGACAATTTAGACCGAAAAGTTGCGTTTTTTTGGCGCTTGCTCTCCCCTCAAAGTGTAAATTGGCGCAAAGGCTGCTTCAGAAAAATCTTTGTGTCAGTCAGCCAGTACCAAAGAGGGATCGTTTGGGTAGTCAAGGGGCCGATTCCCTTATTGCCATTGTCAAACTTTCGTTTTAAATTTACTTTTTTTGAATTATTTAACATTAATCAAGGTGGTTGGAACGTTCTGTGCTCCTTTCTCAGCAACCGGTAGTCCTTGTGTATATAAAATAATTTGCAAAAACTTTGGTCGGAATAATTTGCGCTGCATTTGCAGCATTCAAATGTTGTTGTTGCTTTCTTTCGATAGGAAACAAACGGAATATTTGTGCTCGTGGTGGTTTTTTTTTTCTATTTCGCTAGCCATTTTTGACAATTTTTGCATCAGTCTAAAGATATTTATTTTTTGAGTTTAAATTTGAAAGGGTATTTCAGTTTTGATCATTTTTTGTGAAACAATGAGGGTTAAAGATTGCCATTTTGCCAATTTGGGACAATTAACGGGCGATACCTTTCGCACTTTTAACGCGTAAGTGGAGAATTAATCCGTCTTAGAAATTGTTCCAAATTGGTTGAAAGAAGCTTATTTGCCATAATTCATATGTTACTAGGAGCGAAATCTATCACTTTGTAACTTTTTAGTTATGGCAAATAAGCTTCAGAAAGCTTATTTGCCACAACTGATTCGTTACTAAGAATGAAATCTATCACTTTGTTTTTTTATATGGCGTGTGGGGGGATGAGTTTCCCAAAAAAATCTAACATTAGAAAAAAATACATTTTTATTACATTTAATTTTTTCATGTTTTCACTGCTCCATAGACCTTAAAAGTCAGTCGAAACATTCAGGGCTTCGCCCTGATACGAGCATTTTCTTACAATATTTGATATATTCCCACAATGGATTACTTTTCATCAGATTTTTCTTAGCAATATCTGAAAGTGTTAAAGTGAAATGATGAACGAATTGAATAAAAATAGCTGTCAATTAGTCAATTTTCTGATAAGAGGTCTACGGAGCACTTTTAAATAGAATCAGATGGGCATTTGTCATTATTGGTACAGTTTTTGACACTCCTAATTGCTTCTAAAAGGTAAAGAATTTTTTAAAAAGGAAATTCATTTCAGATAATTTAGTCTGAGGAAAAGAAAAAACAATAGAATTTTCCCACTTCATTTTTTCGAAAATGACTCCCTGTTTGATGAAAAATCCTTGTTTGATGTGCGAAGCGTGGCGTGATTATTAAATTGATGGAGAACGCGCCACTTATTAAATTGACGGAGAGAGCGCAAAAAAATTCAGACATCATCATAAGCGGTTTGAATTATTGATTACTGTCAAGTCCATGTTTCCAATATTTGTTTTTTTTTGCTTAGCGCTACAATGCTTTTGAGAAACAAAATGAAAAATGAAAATGAACTTTTGTATAATCGTTTCTTCCGAAATAAAAACTTAAACATTGTTTTTTCATATATTTTTAGAAAAAATAATTATTAAAAGATTTAGTTGCCGACTGCTCTTCAACATTTGAAGAAGAAATTTTGCTGAGAAATTTGATGAAATCTTTGAATTCAGCTTTGAAGAACATTTATTCGCCGCTCACGTTTTAATCGGACGAAATATATGACAACATTTTTGTCTCGTATTTCGTAAGAAAAATTAGAATTGGGGTGATTTTGCCCACTTAATCCAGCAGTTTGTTGCGCTTACGTGAAAAGCTCTTTCAAAAGCTTCAGTCTTTATTTATGAAAATGAAATCCTAATACGATTTATTTGCCATCCAGAACAAAAAAAAACTGAATTCAAACAAAACAGCTCGTATCAGGGCAAAGCCCTGCTCCGACTGCCTTTTAGGGCCTATAGAGCAGTAAAAGACATGAAAAAATAAAATGAAAAATGATAAAATGCTTTTTTTAATTTGAGATTTTTTGTGAAAATCATCACCCACACGCCATATAAAGTACAATATTATAGATTTCACTCCTAGTAAGAAATCAATTATGGCAGATAGGCTTTCTTCAACCAATTTGGAACGATTTCTAAGACGGATTAAATCTCCGCTCAAGCGTTCATAGCGCGAAATAAATCGCGCATTTTTTGTCCCAAATTGGCCAAAATGGCAATTGTTAAACCCCTTAACTTTACAAGAATGATCAAAGGTAAAAAATATTTATTGAAAGTTAAGCTCAGGACATTAATCCCTTTTGAATGATATTTAAAAGTTGCGTCAAAAATTGCTAGTTAAAAAGTCGAATATTTTCTGAAGAAAAAACCACCCCAAGCACAAATATTCCGTTACTTTTGATACAAAAGTCGGAACAAAAATTGATGAAGTTGATACAAATAATTGTGACAAACATCTCCTCAAACGCTATATTAAATACAAAGTGATATATTCCGCATTTAGCAATTAGTAAAAAGACCGAAGAGCATGCCTCAATCCATTTTGGAATGATTTCTAAGATGGAATAAATTCCGCACCGATTTTTCATGGATAAAAATTGATATACATGATTATGCTGACTAAAAAGTTGTCTATACAATCGATTATCACGGCAAAATTAGGCAACGTAATGGATTTTTATTCCACTTTAATCGATTGTTTTCGAAAAATAAAAATCAAGTGATATCCATTATAATCGATTATAATCCATTTTTGTTTTCAAAATGATGAATTATTTTTGTACAAAAAAATACATAAAAATTGATTAAATTCTGTAAATGATGACTTCACATTTTGCATTTCTCTGCAAAACTCGAACGAACACGTTCATTCAGGGGCGGCCAATTTGTAGTAAATTTTAATATGTAGTAGTTTTCCAAAAAGTGCCCAAAAACGGCATTTTTGTCCACAATTTTTTCAAGAAAATTGCCTAAAATGCTGAATTTTGGTGAAAAAACGTTTTTTTTTAGTATTGTGGGAGTGATTGGAAAACCAAAATGGCCGACCTGAAAAAAGTCAACAAGTTTTCGAATTTTTTGCAAGTCCATTCTCCCAAGCCCCACCCCCCACATGTTCTCCGCCCAAACCACTTCAACCCCCCATACACACATTTACCCATACTACACAATTATCTATTCAGTTGCGGATTGGCGAATAAAATTCAATTAAACTAATAACAAAAATACGTGACTTTTTAGAAGTTTTCATAAACGCAATTGAAATTAGGAAAAAGCTAAAATTTAGCGAGAAAACAAATAAACGAACTTAAATTTAACATTATTGTGAAAATAAAGAAAACAGCACACCAAAGATTTTAATATGGATTATAATCCATTATAATCGATTAAAATTGACTATTTTTTTTTTGATAAAGTTTTTTGAAAATAAGGTGAAAATAATCGATTATAATTGATTGTAATAGATTATATTGCGATTTTATCGCTAAAAAATAGTATCATTATAATTCATTTTTAATCAATTCTAATCGATTATTTTTGGTATTTTATAGAGACTGACAATAAAATCCCAATAGAATCGGTTTTTATTCATGAAATTTCATTGCGCGATCTCCGCTTACGCGTTAATAGCGCGAAAGGTATCGCTCGTTATTGTCAATCTTTAAATCACCATAAGTTTACGAAAAAAGATCACAGGTGAAATGTTTTTTCAATTTTAGGCTCAAGACAACAATACTATTTGAATGATAAGAAAAATTACGTCAAAAATGGCTAGTTAAAAAGTCGAAACATGTCTGAAAAAAAAAACCACCCGAGCACAAGTATTCCGTTTCTTTCGTTACAAAAGTCGGAACAAAAAGCTAGTGGGCTATTTTTTGCAGCGTTTAGATTATTCTGGCCCACAAAATGCGTCTATTTGGTGTATACTGGCGTCAACGCTCTATAATGGCGTCAATTTGGTGTATATGGGCGTTTTTTTTAGAAAAAAGGGTTATATTGAACAAAAACTTTGAGTGACCAGGGGGTCATATCGCTTAGAGGGAGTAGACGTCTTCATTCCCGCACCTCACACTAAAATTCACTTTTGCCTTCTCCTTAAATCTGATTCGGATTAACTCTAGTTTTATAACTCTGTTTTTTTAATATTAATGTATGTTAACCACTAGAATCAAATCTGAATTTTTGTTGTATTTTTGTATCACAAGATGGTATCAAAGTATTCTATTTCGCGGAAGGTGGGATGATACATCCGTAGATCAATCTTTTCAACGTTTCCGCCCTCTTAGAAATTCCACGTGTCAAGCGGAGCATTTACGTTGGACCTGGAGCTTTTTTTTTCATTTCTGTTCATCTTTTTTCCTAAATGTTTACAACTACGATCGTCATAAATTTTTCTTCTTCAAACTTGCTCACCGCTCTGTAAGACTAAACAACTTTTTTTCACAAATTTCAGTGCAACTTTTTTCAGTTAGAAATATTATTCACACTTTTTTCCATTCTTTTCACAGTTTTTTAATGCTGATCGGGCGTTCTCAGACATAATTAGCAGTGAAGAGTTGTTTCCGGACTAAGTTGTAAAATGACCCTGTAACACGGTGCAATTTGACGCTTTGGGAGGACGCGACATTTCTCATTTCCCTGCCTCCAAAATACCCACATTTATAGCTATCCTTTTATTATTGAAAGATTTTTTTAAAAATGGTTGTGGGAGGCAGCAAATAATAGCTAAAAACAAACAATGTGTATCCTTATTTGTCATTTTAATCTTTGTTTTTTTTGCCTCAGCCGCTGCTAATTGTTCACAGAGGCTTTGTACTATTTGATAATGAGGTTCAGAATTTTTTTGATTAGGATCTTTTCAAATAAAATAATTTTGTTCCTGGGGGCTTCTAAAATTGAGGGAGTTATTATCTGATATTTTTTAAAATTGAATTCTATGAAACGAGGAAACGAACGTCAAAGATTTAGGGATTATCTTCCTATTTTTAGTTTTTTTTGCCATTATTCATCCCAGATATTAAAAAAAAGTATCCACGATTTATCTTTTTAAACAGTTTTGTGTGTTTCAAATTCCATTTATGGTAATAAATCATACAGTCAGCAATATGGGTTGAAAATTATCTGAGGCTTCTGAAACTGGTGAACCAACTCGAGATTTTATGGGCAACGTTAGAATTGAAAATAGAAGTATCAGAATGAATATCAGATAGCTGTAAACAAAAATTCAAATTTTGGTCATCAGATAATTTTCTGACACCGTTCAAAAAACTTCCCTGAGTAATTTGGGTTGTGAGCTGCACGCCATCTTTCGATCTGGTTCGGTCTGGTTCTTCGAGACTCAATCGGGTCCTTGATCGGGGCTTGTTGAGTTTGAAAAGTTTTAGAGTACATCAACTAAATCAAATCAAACTAAATAACTACTTTTTTAAACACACACGCAGGAAGTTGAAAGTTTAGTTTTACCTTTCAAATCTTAGCTTTTTGTTTCGACTTTCGAAGAAAGAATCGAATTGTAAGCAGTTAATTGTTTTTATTAACTCCATACATGACTCAAATTGCAACACGTAATTTTGTTATTATCAACCTGCAATTCATAGTTTTGCCAATATTTAAACCAAAAACAATTCGAGACCAATTAAAGGGCAGTCGGAACATTCAAGGCTTTGCCCTGTTTTGACCAGCCTTGTTTGTGTTTCGTTGAAAAACAAAGAAAAAAAAGAAGTGCGAAATTGTTTGTTAAATGATGCTGTTGTGTTTGTTTATTAGCCTGCTCCAGCCACAAGTGTGCAAATGGGGAGTGTACAGTGACGGGGGAGGAGGAGGACTCGTTCAACTGCATGTGTTTCATGGGCTACTACGGCACCTCCTGCGATATGTTTAACCCCTGTGCCAGGAAAGGGATCTTTTTTGCCTACCCCCCCCCCCCCCCCCCCCCCTATCTCTCTCTCTCTCTCTCTCTCTCTTCGGTAACGAATTGCCACCCCTATTATGAACTAATTCGAAGGTTAAGCGTGTATTAATTTTGTAACGAATCTCCGCTCTTTTGAAAAGGGCGGGGGGTAGTTAACCAGATCTCAAGAAAGTACCAGTGGTGTTGATGATACCTTTCTATAATGCCCCATGGACCTGCATTTTTCAATAGATTTTAAAAAGTATACACAATGGCAAAATGAAGAAAGAACACTTATGGAATAATACATGTATTCTATGTGAGACGTCACAAATAGAAACGGAAGGTGCTTAGACTTTATTGACAGCCATTGTTAGATCCGCTTTGATTCGCAGTAGCCCCCCCCCCCCCCCACAATTACAAAAGGGGGAGATTCGTTGCATTTTGTACAAAGTTCACATATGCGTAACCGCTGAATTGTAGTTTTTTATAGGAGTGGCAATTCTTTACTAGGTTATCAAAGGGTAAAAGTAGTTAACAAGATACACGGAGTAATATAATTTATATTTTTAGGAAACCGTGCGGAGAATTCGAGTGCTTCAACACCACTGAAGGCCACTTCTCCTGCGCCTGCCCGGACGGGAGGAGCACCACTGACCCCGTGGACTGTCTCAACACAGACCCCTGTGCCAATCACAAGTGCCAATGGGGGGAGTGTGTCCCTACCAATCCTGATGATGATGAAGGTCAGTAGTGCTACCAACGGAGAAAAGGAGGATTGTGGCTGTGAGGGGGCAGGGCTGTTCTGGAGTGGGGGTATTGGTTGGTTTTGGTTCTGGGGGCGGGGGATTAGTGGATGTTTTTGCGATGTTTTCTCTTTCAGTGTCAACTGGGTGCCGTTTTGGTCCAATTGTAAGACGACCCTTTCCACAAAAAGTTTAACAAAGTGTTTCTAAAAGCGCGTTTGTAAAAAAAAACAATTTGAATAGTCAGAGAACGAAAGTTGCATTTTCCTTGACTTCTTTTCAACTGAGACAAGAAAACAAATTAATTGATCTGATCGAATAATGAAAGTAGATTAGTTTGATACGAAACTCTAATTTAAGGTTGAAATTAACACGGGTTAATCAATTTAGAACTAATTTGAACTATTCTCTGGAAATTCTTGAACTTATTTCTATATGGCTTTTTCACCTGCCGTATCTATCTCGCCCTCTTGAATGCATTAGCGTTTCAGTTCAAGTATAATTGAGTTCAGTGAACTGATCGACTTGTGTCTTAAAGTTCCGAATTATCGAAAATCAGATACAGCTTAAAAGTTCCAAAATCAACAGTTTTTATGGTATCGCATATTAAATTTTTCAAATATTGACACTGTTTCCTTGCCCCAATTGACTAATTTGATCCTACCTTTGAAATAAGTTTCAAATTTAAGTTTTTGGGAAAACAGTTGATTGAAGAAAGTGAGGTATATTTATAGCTTGTGTTTGTGTGAACGATGATAGAGGACAGTCGCAACACTCAAGGTTTTGCCCTGATATACGGGCAGTCATGTTTAGATACAAAAATAATTTTGAGTTAAAATGATGGTTATGATTTCTGCGGCAGTTTTGTAAAATCACTCAATTTTAAATGTTGTCAGCAAACTCATAAAAAGAGCACTTTTCTGTGTATTTAGCTTTTTAAACAAAAAATAGTTTAAAAAAACATAGAAGTGCATCAAAATTGGCATCTGAAGCTTTTAAAGTGTTTTTCACTATTTTTTTTATTACAGCATGTCTTTTTTCATGACTAAATTTTTCTATAAATCTTTTGTATAGTATTTAATGTTGCGTTATCTAAGCACATAGGTGTTCGGCGCACAGACAATTCCTCCAAAAACACTTCAGCCAATTTGAAATTCAGACAATTCAGCCAAAAGTATACAGACAATTCAGCCTGAGACAATTCAGCCAGTTTTACAAAACGCTAGATTCAAAAAATAAAATCGGAATTGGACTTATTTCTCGGTTTAAGGTGGGCGCGCCATACGCGCGTCGCCGCTTAGCGGCGATAACCGGCTCTAAATTTTGTAACGATTCGTACCCTCTGTTGGCAAGCTCGCAACACGTTGGTGACTGCAGCGGTCACAATTGTTGGCTGAATTGTCTGCATACTTTTTGCTGAAATGTCTGAATTTTAAATCGGCTGAATTGTCTTTGGCCGAATTTTCTGGACGCGTAGGTGTTCATATTGTGGATTTTCGAAGTCATGGGTCAGTGATGTGCAAAACATTTGTCATGAAAAGTTAAACAAAAAAGACTGCTCGAGCAAAAAGATAAAAGCTTCGATTGCCATCCATGGTGATTAACAAGTATCTTTTTGGTTGAATAAGATCATATACTCTTGGAAATATGAGAAAACTAATATTTAAAGAATTGGTTCTAAATTTTAATGCTCCATAATCTATGTAAGGTACCAAGCGATGCTTGTTGCTTGTGATACCGTAAAAATAAGAGCAAATTACGTGCCTCATTAACTTTGACTTTGCCGCTTAACTTTTATTTTGCCGCTTTACGTGCCTTAAAAACTTATTTTGCCGCTTACTCAATAACTAAACGAAGAACATTGCTCGTTAATTATCTCAATTTGAATTATTTAAACTACAAAGTTCAAAAGAACATTGCTCGTTAGTCATAAATTTAAACAATTATAACTTGGTGATAATTGATGACCGGTAGTTTAAATAATTCCTTTGAACTTCAGTTAAAACGAGCAGTTGAAAAGGCGAAAATTAAATGAATGAAAAACCACACCAAGCATAAAAGTTTTGCATTTTTTCGAAACTAGACAAAAAAATCAATGAATAATTTTACAATTTTTTAAAATAATTAAACATTTTTTTGACATATGAGAGTTTTTCAACATACAAAACTTGTAACCAATGAATAGTAACAGAATGACCATTTTGTTCATACACATTTTTTGAACTTATAAATTTGATTGAAATTACAATGATTGAATACTAATTCAGTTCTGTCTAATTTCTGCTATTTTTTGTATTTGGCCTTATCTCTGACCAAAATGGAAAAGATTCTGACTTGACTAAAGAACTCTCTATCTCAAACTAAAACATGCAAGCTTCTATGAGATTTTTCCCTGTTGATTTTTAATTGCTGTTTTTACCAATGCGTACTGCGAGTAAAATCTTAAAAAAAACGATAGAGAATTTAAATTAAAAAAATTGCCTAAAAGGTGTTATTCATTGAAATTTACATGCATAAATACTTCTGATCATTATTATTTTAATTATGATATCTTCTTACTGAAACTGATTAAATTCGCGGGTTGACCTCCACACAAACAAATGCTTCAAAGAAGTATAGAATATTCCTACCATGCTCATAATAAAACTTCGACAATTTTATTTTCACTAAGGTCGCTTTTATGTGCGTGGTATAATCAAAGACCTATTCAAACAAAACTTAAGCGTATTTTCTTTTTGGTATTTAAGAACTTTTCATTGCCAAGGAAGCGCTTAATGAAGCTTCCGCAACTAGTTTTCCTGCAGTGGATCCAATAGCGTGCCGAGATCGAGCGAGAGCCTCAATTCTGGCTGCCATATTTTTCCGCAGGGTCCCCTTTTGGTGTTATCTTACGACATCCATGCTAACCATCTCGGAGTTTTTCTAAAGGTGACTTTGTCGTCAATATGAATAATTTTGAAGGGGCGCGAGCCAAAAAACGCATTTTTTGGCCAAAAATTTCCAAAAAGTGCCTAAAGCGGCTCTTTTGGCCTGTTTTTTCAAAATTTCGACTGAGGTGCAGAAAATTGGGCCAAAACAAGGTTTTTTTAGTGCTTTGGGAGAGCTCGGAAAATCAATTTGGTTGACCTAAAAAAAGTTCGACAAATTTTTTTCCCCGTTCTCGAAAAAATCCTAGATCCCCCCTGGTCCGTATAATTTTTTCCGGAAAATGAAATTGATCGACATAAAAAAATTCGGCAAATTGCAAACTTTTCACAATTTTTCGAAAAACCGCCCCTTCTCTAAAAAAATTCTGCGCACGCCACTGAGTGTTACTGAAGTTTTTGTGCTATTTCAGGGAAAATTAGTCGCATTACTCGCATTACTCGCTTCAAATTAGACAAAAATTCAAAATTTCCAAACAGGTTTGTTTTTGACACTGCGATAAAATATTTTCGAAATTTTATACTGTCGTTCGAATGACCGATGAACGGTTTTTAATATGATATATCACTCGACTCATTTCGAGTGGTACCTGATTTTGCGTGGATAACAAAAATAAAGAAAAAGGAACAAAAATCTAAAAACTTTTGAAGAAAAAGGTCTTGTTTTCAGAGGAATGGAGGGCGCATGGAGGGAAAACTTTACCAAGATCGTGACTAAATATGTATTATCCATGTGACATGGCTATCATGTCAGGATCTTGCAAGATATCCTTGTGTCAGATACGTTCGCGAAAATGTGTTTGTCGAAGGTCGTGGCCCTTCATTTGAACTCAACCTGTTCTTGATGTTTCTTCATCCGTCCTTGATGCCATGTTATAGAATATAAATCTAATGTGACTGAAATTTAAGGATACGAAACCTGTCAAATAATGATTTTTTTTTTTCATTTTTTTCGAAAGCAAATGCGTGACAAAAAACAATCCAGCGAGTTGAAATTTATCAGATTTCGTCGATTAATTGGTACAGACTGCAGCATATCTTAATTAACAGTGAAATGCAAAAACATCCTGTAAACACTAAATCTACACTCGCAAAAAAGCGTCCTAAAAATGCAGTGTTTCTGTGCAGAATACGACGGCTTGGATTTGCGCGGGGGGAATGTGGCTCCCAGCTACGTGTGTGAGTGTGAAAGGGGCTACAGGGGCAGATGGTGCGAGGATAGAGACACCTGTCAGTTCGTCAACTGCCACAACAATGGCACCTGTATCTCGTCATCGTCAGGAGGGGGGACAGCAGATAGCTACCATTGTCAGTGTCAGCCCGGATACACAGGTGAGCAATATTTGAATTTGAAATTTTCCACGTTTTAAAATTGTAGGCGCCGTTCGCCCCAAAATCGTTACGATTTTGTATATGAAATATAAGGGCAAAATGTGCCCATAATTTTCAGATGAGCTAAGTGTGTGCAGACCGATATATCTGAGATTGCTATAACTTCATAATTAACTCATCAAATTTATCAATCAACCACTGTAGTCTTGAAATCAATTTTAAATGTTGCAATAATCTAGTTAGCAGTTAATATATTGCACTTGAAATAGCTTTTAAAAAACAATTTTGAAACTTGTAAGTGTTTCATATGTGTTTTTTTTTCAATTTTCTCCAGCTGTAAATCAACTGGTAGGATAGTCCAGTTTGAGCCGGGTTTTATTTTTTGACTTCAAGTGGTTTGTTTTTGATAGCCTTCGAGAAATTTCTTCCTTCGCAAAATTGGTAACAAAAAAGATACACCTCGAGTATGCTTTTGAACCTGATATCTTATGTCACAATCAAAAAAAATTTTTTTTGACAAACTGTTGAAATTCGTTAAGAAAAAAATCACGAACTAAAAAATATTCATGCAAAACTAAACAGTAAACTTTGCATGCAATTTCTCAGGCATTTTCAGCGAAAAAATGGTTTCTGTCTTTTTATCAAAATTTATCATCAGTAAATTTAATTAAAACACACTGTAAACATTTAACGCGGCACATAAATATCAACCTGAACAAACGAGTGGTGACACTTTTCATAGCAGGTGAAATTTTTGACATGTTTGTTTTCTGTGATCAGTATTTGAATGAACGATAATTGTCATATGTCGTTTATAACTGAACCTAAGATGTTTTTGAGTTAGGACCGAAGTGTAACTCATAGAGTAATTTCGGATAGGGTACACCGTCTGCTCGTCACGCTATCTTATTTTCGGCCGGATAGATTCGTGCAACTTCTTAGTCTAATACCGATCCTAATCTTACTCTTATACTATCTAGTCTCAGGTTGTTTAACTAGTCTCTGCTAGGCTCAATAGATCTAGGGTATACTGGTTTATTGCGGTTGCTGAAGTGCTCGGGAGAGTCCAACTAATTTCTAAGTTAAATTCAAATCTCTCTGGTGCTGAAATTACAAGTAACTTCAGCACTTACAAATAAGTGGGTTGTTAGTTAGATGGATCATGATTGGTTAATATTAAATACTTTACATTGGTAAAACATTTAATTTATCCAATCATAAAATGTAGTTTAGATCAGGTTCCATTTTATATAGAAAAACTTTTAGGCCCTACTAGATATAATATTTTTCTGCACATTACTTTGACCGGGTTGAAACCTGGTTCAAATTTTGAACAATGGATCACTGATCACTCCGTTTCTTCTTTTTCACAAATTTACTGTGAGCAAGAACATAAAAGTCATTTTGCAAGCAACATATGAAAAAATTCTCTACAAAAATATAAGATTTTCTAAAATTTCTTATGCAGTTTGATTAACATAAAAATGATTGGGCGTGACTATATCGTCACACTCCTTTCAATTCAGCCCGTATTTAGGTCATTCAGCAAAAACTCAGTCAGACATATCCATATAATACGATAATTTTGAGGCAGTTTAACCAATTTTTTATTACTGATTAGTCTATTATGCAATAAAAATTCACCTACTGCAATATACATTTATGCCAGCAGTCATGCCCAGAAGAAGCGCAGCGTTGCAAAAGAAATGGAGCAAGCGTTTGCCACTAAAAAATTTTCTCAAAATTCCGTTAAATTTTGTTGATTGGAAAACTGACTTAATTGTCCAAATTTTCTGAATCTCATGCAAAATTGTTTGCCGAAAATACCATTTTTACACTTGCGATAGCAAATGTTTTGTAATCGGGAACTAGGTTGTTTTTTATACCAATCTTGTGTTCTTTATTGTCTTCTCTTTACAATTGTTTTCTTTATTATTGAGTCTTAACGACTTCCAGGCTCATTACCATTTGACCTAGAGGTAACGCCGTGGCCATCATCATTAGGTCAAGGGTTCGAGTATCGGTCGGACCTTGTGATTGAAACTTTTACGGGAAAAATTTAACGTCGGACTTTCGATTCGATTGTCTGCTCAAGTTTTGCTGTCTTAGTTGCCACATCAAGGATTTTGCTTGTGCTGTATTCAATTTTCTTTACAGTTGCGAGCGTTGTTCATTGTAGCTGCAGGACAGACTTAAAAGAATTTTTCCAAAAAAAAAATTTTTTTTTCGGCTCAGCTGGTGATATTTAAGTACCATTTAAATATTTAAGTACCATAAAAATAACCGCATTGACTATACTTTCAAAATATTTGAAGGAAAACAACCAAATTGTTTACCAGATTTTATAATTGATTTTTTTTCCTCTCGGTAAATTTATTCTTTCTGAAACTGTTTTCTTGAAAAAAGTCCGCGATCAAAAGTTTTTGTGCCATTATACCCGTATCATTATGGTTTTGTGCAACAATCTGCCATTAAGCTTTGGTTTCTGAAGTTTTGAGGCTAATGCATTTGAACACAAAGGAACTTTAAATGAAACAAGACATCTCGAATATCAGGGCAAAGCCCTGAATGTTCCGACTGTCCCTTAATTAATATCGAATAATTTTTGAGAAAAGAAATTATAGAAAATCTATAAATTTTGGACAATATCAAAGTGTGAAATTTTGAGTCGTACAGAATTGATACGACCGATTATTTAGCTTCACTTTTATTTGGAAGGATTTTGTTGTACGGGATAACTCGCCACGCATAAGTTATTTGCGCGACCCTATCATTATCATGAATAAACTCTTCAAAATGCGCATAATTTAGTCCAGATTATGGCCAAATTGGCAGTTTTAAAACCCCCAGATCTTTACATCGGAGGTAAAATATCTTTTTACAATTTAATTCAGGAAGTCGATACCTTAAATGTGGTATAAAAAAAATTGTTGAAAACTTTTATTTTGATCATGGCATAGATTTTCCGTTTTCTTCGAAAATCGCAACAACAAGAGTGCTCGTATTTGGGCAAAGCCCTGAAATCTCTGAATGCCTTTTAACTGGTCTCGAATAGTTTTTCATTAATGAAAATTTGACAAACTATGAGTTTTAAACTGATAACATCAGTTGTCAAAAGACAAAAATTGAGTTGTATATGAAATTAATAGGGTCAATTAGCTTGCCTCAATTCAATTTGGAATGATTTTGTGGTGGGAGATAAATTTTCACGCGTAAATAATTTGCCTTGACTTTTCGGCGCTGTATAAAATAGCATATAGATACAATAGCATAAGCTTTTGTTAGCTGTATTTAATCGTTATCGCGTGCTTCTTGTAACTAAATCAGAATTTCTGGAATAACAATACGTATCGTGGTTCTGAAAAAAAAACTGGATGAACGCTTCAGCATAGCCAATGTGTGGCATATGCATGAATGTTTATTCATTTTCACTATTTGTTCAAACAAAAAACTGAAAAAAAAACAGTCAATTCTTTCGTTGATCTCGTTAATCTCATTTACAACCACATTTCTGACATAAAACAGTGAAATTGATAGCCGGAATATTGTAAATAATTTTAAAATCAAGAAATTTAGTTAATATGTAATTGAATTTTTTTTTCGAAATTTTCAATTTTTATACTACCTAATCTTTATGCTAGAGATACGGCCCCAAACTTTCAGCATCAAAGTATAAAAAAGCAGTTCAGAAAGACACGGTTCATAGTTTCGTAGTCGTTAATTGACATATTGACATGATGAAAAACATTTCTTAGTTACATTAGTTTAATTAACAAACTCCCCCCCCCCCCCACCTACGGTATCTACTAGAGAATTCCCACCCCAATAGATAAAAACAGTAAGTTAGCAGTATAGCTTTGTATTGAGACTTTTAATTTTGCTGCATTCCGAATGGTCGAGAGTTCGACTAACTTATTCTACGTATCAGTCCCCCGTTTTTGAGAGGGGAGTTGTTAAGTAGATCCGAAACATTCAATTTTTCGACCTGATACGAGCAGTTTTGTTTTCATACAGGAAACTGTAACTGAGAAAAATTTGAATACAATTTTGAATAAGAGAGTTTTAGCTAGGCAGATACCTGTGCAATCAAAGGGTAATCAAAAAACTTTGTAAAAATTAGAATTAGAAAACTTTTCAACTTTGTTCTAAAATACTACCCATATTTTGTAACTAAGATTCAGAGCTGCACACAATATAAATTAGAAATCTTCAACCATGAGTTTTTGGACAATTTTATTCTAGGAAATTATCAATTGTTTAAACTCATTTTTGACTAGAACTAGTATTTAAAAAAAAAGATTTGCTGTCAAGGGTAAGTATACTGCTGACATTTTCCCCTTTTTCGCTTCAAAAAATTTTTTTTCCTCTTTAAATCATTAATTTTTTTTTATTTCTTGATTAACTATCAATATTTAAAAAATAACAAAAGTCATAGCAGGATCAGATTTGCCTGAAAACGGGCTGCATAGTTCCACGGCGTTCTCGCAATGAGATTTCGTTTGGTTGTAAACGTAGTAACTTTTACAAAGAATGGAATCTAATTTGCAAACAATTTATTATTATATTATTATTTAAGAAGAAGCATTAAAAATGCTACAATTTTTAAAGTAAAAAGAATACATGAATTTGCGTCATATATTTGAACTTCTAGCAATCTACATGACGCAAATTTAGGTTTTATCTCTATTTTGGAGGTTTTAAGCGGATATCATAGCATTCAATTGACAGTTTGACAGAATAGTTCTTTATTAAAAACTTCCTTTGTCAGCCTCGTGTAGTTTATGTTTTTGAATAAAATATTCATTTCAACATACAATTCTGAGCAATTAGATTGCCGACTGTCAATTCTTTTGTCAGAAACCCTCTCCTACCAATAATTGGAACATTTCCATTCAATTTCCTTCACGTAATTGCATTTAAACTACCTTCCTACTCTAACGACGCATCGAACTCCTGAAGACATGCGCTTGGAATTTAATAGGAATTTTCATGCAAATTAA